TGCACTGCTGGCTGCCATGAAGTAGCCCAATTGAAACCTTATATTTATTTTTTGGTACTGGGGGTTGAATTCAGGCCACTCAAAACTCTGCCACATCCCCAGCCCTTATTTATATTTTATTTAGAGACAGAATCTTGCTGAGTTGCTTAGGGCCTGACTGAGTTACTGAGGTTAGCTTTCAATACATGATCCTCCTGCCTCAGCCTCCCAAGCCTCTGAGATTACACTCCTCCACCCCAAACCTCATTTTAATCTGCTTTATGTCCTTGTGTTCAGTCTCTTCAGAGTTTAGCTAATCTCTCTGAGCTTCAGGACTCTATCTGTATAATCATGTATATTCCCATAGGGCTGCTAGGAAATAATAAAGGAAAAATTTGTTCCAGCTGCAGAACTAGCCTTCATACATTTGTAGGTTCAATCCCCAGTAACAAAAAAAAATTTTTAAATTTAAAAAGCAAATTGTTAAATTGTTTCAATAGAAAGAGGAACATGAAGATTCTCTGATTCAGGAAGGAGAGAAACTATTAAGCATTGGTTGCATTTTTTTCACATGAAGTTTAAAAAACCTTCTAAGTATTATTACCTTCTCCCACACATTCGGGAAAGTCAAAGGTCCCAGATTTGTGAAGAAAATTCAAAGGCATGCAGTTTCTTTGGGAAATGGAGATTTCTGTTCTATCAGAGGACTGTATGAAGAACAAGATGAATTAAGAGGGCACTTTGGTGCATACCTGTGATTCCAGCTACTCCAGAGGCTGAAGCAGGAGAACTGCAAGTTGGATGCCCCCAACAGCAAATTAACAGGACCCTGACCCTCCCACCCCAAAAGGCAGGGGTTGGGGGATGTAGTTCAGTGGTAGAGTGTCTCTGGGTTCAATCTCTAGTACTGAGAAGAAAAAAACATTTTTTGACAAACTATCTAAGGCTCATAAAACTATAATCTGATGTCTTATAATATGTTTATTCAGTTTCAATCTGTGGTGTCTCCGGCTTCCAAGCTCAGAGTTTCCTGAGAGGAGGAGAAGAGGAGGGCAGAGAGAGAAAGGAAGAGAGCAGAGAGAAAGAGAAAGAGAGCAGAGAAAGAAGAGGAAGAGGGCAGAGAGGAAGAGGGCAGAGAGCAGAGAGAGGAGAGAAAAGAGGAGAGGGAAGAGAGAGGGGAAGAGGGCAGAGAGAGAGAGGAGGAAGAGAACAGAGAGGAAATTTATGGATTTTTTGAAGGGGCTAAATAGATACCAAAGATACACTAGTATTATAAAAATTATGTTTCTTGGTTCAACGCTATTATACAAGTTCAATATGTTTTTGCACTTATTAATTTCATTTTGTATTTTCTTTGAAGCCTTAGAACCATTTCATGTTAGTGTATTTTGAAGAATACACTACAACAAAACGACCTGAGTTAAAACAAAACAACCTGAGTTAATTTAAATACTAAACCATCACCTACAGGATAGATATGAGATAATGCCACCTCCCAATACTAATACTGACCTTAATTAAATAAAAGGGATAACTGAAAAAATTATAGATATTAAAGTTAAAACCCATTACTCCCACTTTAATATTGGTGAATATTAATGTCTGGCCTGCTAGATGTTTAAAAACAAAGCTTGGAGCCCTTTGACATGGCTCATGTCTATAATCCCAGTGACTCCGGCAAGGAAGGAGGATCATAGGTTCAAGGCCAGCTTCAAAATTTAGTGAGGCTCTAAACACTGTAGCTCAGTGGTAGAGTATCCCAGGGTTCAATGTCTAATACCAAAACTAGGAGTCAAAAGCCAAGGAAGTAAAGGGGCTAATGGAGAAAAAAACAGCCAATATTTTGGCCCTTGCCCTCTCAGGTCAGTCAGGACTCATCTCTAATGGCCCTGCAACCCTGGTTGAGTCACCTGACCTGCCAATAAGGGGAATTGTGAGGACCTTAGAGAACAGGAAGCCAAAATGTACATTTTGCCAAGAGGAGGGTCACTAGAGAGGAAAATGTCCCTGGTGCTTCCATGTATGGTCAGCAAGGCCTTGAACTCATCCTGGCAGATGGGACAACTGGTAGAGAAAGTTAAAGAATCCAAGAGGCTTTTCACAAGTTCCCAAGAGTAACCCCTGAGGAATCTCAGCTAACCCTAATAGTAGATAGAAACATGGTCAATTTTTGACAACTTGGTTTTAAACACCTGGCAGTAAATATAACCCAAATACAGTCATACATGGACATTTCAAAGGTAAGACAGCTGGGTATGGTAGCACATTGCCTGTGATCCCAGTGACTCGGGAGGCAGAGGCAGGAGGATCCCAAATTTAAGACCAGCCTCAGCAACTTAGTGAGTCCCTAAGCAATTTAGTGAAATCCTATCTCCAAATAAAAAATGAAAGGGGCTGGTTGTGGCTCAGTGGTTAAGTGCCTTTGGGTTTAATCCTCTGTACAAAAAAAAAAAGTAAGACAATATTTCTTTTAATATAACTTGAGATACATGCTTGTGTCAGCCCTACCAAAAGCAATCAAATTTGAGAGGTTATAGAGAAAGGGGTTTTTGTCTGATAATAACTATCAAAAGAGACTGTTAAAATCATGTTTACTCTGAGTTAATTTAAGTCTGATTTGACAGACATATTTTTGAAAAAAAAATTCAGATCCTGAGATGTATACAGGCAAAAAATATTAAAGCTTACTTAGTCTTATCTAACTGTTACCAATATTAGGACCTCTGGTAACCATACTTCAGCTCCCATCCCTCAGCCAATACCATTGTAATCTCCTAATAAATTTTCTTTTTTAATTAATTTTTTAATTTATATATGACAGTAGAATGCATTACAATTCTTATTACACATATAGAGCATAGTACATCATATCTCTGGTTGTATACAAAGTATATTTACACCAATTCGTGTCTTTATACATGTACTTTGGATAATTCCTCCATCATCTCTAATCCTATACCCCCCTTCCTCTTCCATCTCTCTGCCTCTATCTAGAGTTTGTCTATTCCTCCCATGCTCCCCCCCCCCACTACTCCACTACGATTCAGCCTCCTTATATCAGAGAAAACATTCAGCATTTGTTTTGGGGGGATTGGCTAACTTCACTTAGCATTATCCTCTCTAAATCCATCCATTTACCGGAAAATGTCATGATTTTATTCTCTTTTATTACTGAGTAATATTCCATTGTATATATATGCCATATTTTTTAATCCATTCATCTATTGAAGGGCACTTAGGTTGGCTCCACAGTTTAGCTATTGTGAATTGTGCTGCTATGAACATTGATGTGGCTGTGTCCCTGTAGAACGCTGTTTTTAAGTCCTTTGGGATAGTCCAAGGACTGGGATAGTCAAATGGTGGTTCCATTCCCAATTTTCCAAGGAATCTCCATACTGCTTTCCATATTGGCTGGACCAATTTGCAGCCCCACTCCTAATAAAGTTTATATTTTCCATATTAAACAATCCTACAGTAAGAGGATGGCAACACAATATTTCCAACCCATTCCCACAACTATGACCAGTGTCTATCTCCTTTAGATCAATCAAGATGAGACTTTTTTTATACTTGAACTAGAACCCAGTGGTGCTTAACCACTGAGCTACATATCCAGCCTCTTTTATATTTTATTTTGAGACAGGCTCTCACTAAGTTGCTGAGGCTAGTCTCAAACTTGTTATCTTTTTGTCTCAGTCTTCCAAGTCACAAGATTGTAAGTGTGTACCACTGCATCCAGCTCAAGATGAGACTCTTGATCCCTGACTAGACAGAGTCATTGTCCCTTGCCAACCTGAAACAGCCCTAGAAGATAGATCTTCACCCCTCACCAACTCTTTATTTTTTCTTTTATTGGTACTGGGGATTACTCTAGATGTGCTTGACCTCTGTGCCATACCTCCAGCACTCTCCCTTTTGTTAAAATTTTGAGATAGGGTCTCACTAAGTTGTTGAGGCTTGCTTTGAACCTGCAATCCTCCTGCCTCAGCCTCCCAAAATGCTAGGATGACTGGGGTCGCCATGGCACCTGGTCTGAATTGTCCTTTGAATGCAAATTTCTTGCCTTATTTACCTCAAAGGCACCTCTCTCTTGAGATGGCCCTAATCTCCCTTGAATGTGTATCTACTTTCCTAAATACACCTCCATCTATGCCTTTGACTGGCATGTACTGAAATTCTTTTCCATCACATATTCCAAAATCCCTGCTGGTTCTAAATTCTACCTTCTCTCTGGGAACTCCCTGGACCCTTTTGGAGACATGTCTTCTCTGGTGACAGATGAACAGGAAGGAGTCTGTGCAGTCGCTAACATTTCTTGTTACCCATGGATAAACACATCAGGCATCACAGGAACTCACTTGTACAAAATTTAAGAAACACATTTCTTGGTTGATAAGTAGATTCCTAGCTCGTTCTTTGATCTATTTGATTTTATCTGATCTGGTTCATGTGTACCCTAAGGAGCATATTCTCTCTCTCTCTTTCCTCTCTTTCTCTATATATGTATATGTATATATATATATATATATATATATATATATATATATATATACATGTATATATGATTATTTAATCATATATATTAACTTATATATAACATCACATGTTTATATATAAATCAAATATGATGTATATCATATATATGATATTATATATATGATTATATACATTTATATATAAATTGTTCCCTTGTTCTCACCTTATAAATCCCAAGGTTCTGTACTGACACAATAAAAGCTTTCACTTTATTTTATACAATAAAGGCTGCCTCATTCATAATTTTCAATTTGAAGCCAATTAGATTTATATCTAAATTATTGAAACTTTGTCTTTTGATAAGCTTAAGAAATAAAGGTTGGAGGACCAAATTCCTCAATTACAATCCACATTCCCATCAAATTGAAGGCAACACACTCTAAAAGATGGTCAAGAACTCCAGGAGCCTTCAACTGACTTCCTCACCAATTAGTCACCTAGTGGCCCAAGGTGAGCCCACAAACATGGATTGCTCGGAAACTCACTTTCTCTTGCAGCAAGCGCGCTGGCATTTTGGCTCTCAGATGCTGCGATGACTTTCTCAAGGCTGAAGTTGCCAAGTGGGGTTCTGTACTGCCAGGATAGAAGGTGGACTTCTACTCCAGGCTTTGCTTGAAGAGCAGCAATTCTGTGCTGTGCTCTGAATGCTTCTCTAACCTCACAGAGTGATGCTGTCCACGCTGGACCTTGCTCTGTGTGTTATCTCCCTGAGATGAAGATTTAAAGGCTACAGCTAGCAGTGGTTGAAATTGTCCCATATTTCCTCTACCTTTTATCTGCAGCCAATAAGGGGCAAGGTTCACAGAAGCTGTCTGGCTTAGGCAGCCCTGATTGGAGGGGAGGGGAGGGGACAGAAAACAAAGGCAGGCAGGGTCCAGTTAGAGTGACTGGAGGCTACTAACAATAACAATGCTAATGATCCCGAGACAACACTAATGACCCTTATGTCAACTCTGGCTCCTCACTAGCCAAAGAAAATTTGGTGCCTCCTCATCCTACCATTATCATTGGCTTAGCACAAACTGATGTTCCCTTGCCACCAGCTCCTTGATTTCCTTCTGTTTTTTTCACCTTCTTGGCTTCTCTTCCAGGAGTTGTTGGATGTCTGCCCAGTACATGGGGCCTCAGGAGTGTTCTGAAGATTTCTTTTTGGAAGAGCTTGAGGGCCTAGTTCAGCAGTGAGGGTTGTATCCAAGCCTAGGCAGGCCCTGGTTTCAAGGTGAATTGCTGGGCATTGGGGCAGTTGCATAGGAAAGTGTGGGGAAGCCAACATGGGGCAAACCACTCAACTCCATCCAGTCTTTCCTTTCCTCCCAGTGTCTGGGACCTTTTCACACTTGGAAGGCCACACACTTAGCCTCTAACCATCCCCCTTGACTCACCTGCCATAGTTTTGAGCCAAACACCTGGGTAGAGCCTGCTTACTTAGTTAGCTAGTGACCTGTGCTCCCACGGGGGGAGGTGAACAATCTCTCTGCCCCCCCATCCCACCCCAGCTCTAGGATAACAGAGATCATTAGAAATTCTGGTGACACTGTAGAGGCACAAATGGATCTTTTCTCCTACAAGAGCCCAACAAGCTTAGACATTGGGCATGCTCCACAGAGAAAGGACATCTGCAGGCACCAGTAGGCAATGATATCCCCTTGTCTACTCTTCCAGAAAGCATGCAGGATGGTTTGGAGATTCTTCTGATTGTCAAGTTGGAATACTAGAGACTTCTTTATGGAAAAAAGCAGGAATTACACACAGTGTTTTCTCCCAGCAGCAGGCCAAGGGCTAGGAATAAGAGTAAGGAGCAGGTGATGAAGAAACCCTGCAAGCCAATTCACAAGAATTATTTTGTTGAACCCTCACTGTGAGCCTGTGAGGTGGGTTTTGCATGGTTCCATTTAAAAAAAAAAAAAGAGGAATGTGAGATAATGGAAAGATCAAATGAATTGTCCACCATCACAGCAATTAGCAAATTGTGGAGCTGGGAAATAAGCACAGAAATGTGATGCTGGAGCCCAAGCTCAAGACCCTGTTGCCCTGGAACCCTGCAGTGCTCTGACCTCAGATCTTTCCATCAGGAAATAATCTCTGGGTCTGTGGGAAGTCCTGCTTGGAGAGCTTGTAGCCAGGCAGGCTCTGCATCCATTCCTCCAGGGTGGTTCCATGCCCAGGTCTCTCAATTGATGTCCCATTCTCCTCTGGGAAGGGGAAGGTACTAAGGAGCTCTGTGAAATGACTAGATTCTCAGGAAGAGAGGCACCTGGGATTGCCTGGGAGCAGGACAGAGCTCTGCCCTCTGGTTTCAGGGGCAGGCCAACCCCCTGACCAGTGATCAAGCACCTCTATTTCCAGACACACTCACTGGCCAGTGGGAAGGTGCCAAATGAGCCTAAGTGATCTCAGAGGTGGAAGCTCATGTGGTGATGGTTCAGAAGTGCAGGGTGTGGAATCCAAGTCCACCAGTGCTGCTCCTCTTCAGGTTCTGTCAGCAATGTGTACTAAATTCCCTTGCCAACTGCAGGTTTACTCCGTCCTGGTCCAATCCAGGTTGCTAGATGTACTACTATAGACTGGATGACTTTTTCAACAGAAATGTATTTCCCATGGTTCTGATGGCTGGAAGTATCCATTGAAGCACCAGCAGATTCATTTATGATATAGTGATGTTTACAAAGTGGACATGATTGTGTATAATGATGTGAGCTCAACAATGTAGAAAATATTGTAGAAGGGAAAAAGAAAAAAAGAAGTTATTAGGCTGAGATCTGTATTCTGAAATCTACTGAGATAGAGATAACTTTGAAAAATTTGTTCGTGAGCTTCAATGTTCTCATCTGTAAAATGGAGATAATACTATTCATTTTGGAAGATTGCTTCAAATATGAAATCGTGTATTAAGATCAGTAGAGTACTCTACACAGTGTAAGTTGCAATTGTTAATGTTTCATTTAGATCCAGTTTCCTTCATTTCAATATTCAAAGTGATTCATGATTGTACTCTGAATGTTCTCTTCCAGCCTTAATTCTCACTTCCTGCTTGGTATAACTTACACCTTCATCAGACTGTACTCCTCCCAATTTCTGTACTTGATCTTAGCCACAAAGCTGTGAAGCACTAACTACTACTCATTTCTAAACATATTCTGTCTTCTCAACTCTCTTTGCACTCCATTCTCTATGTCAAGATATTACTCATGAGCCACAAATTCCACTCCTACTTATATACCCCAGAGAATTGAAAACAAATATATATACATATTCACAACTTGCATAAGAATATTCATAATGGTATTATTTATAAGAGCCAAAAATAAAAACAATGAAATTGCCCATTTACTGATGAATAGATAAATAAGAAGTATATCCATATATATCCATGTAATGGAGGCGATGGCTAAGGAGTCTAGGTTTCATTTTGAAATAAAACATTGATTGAGGTGATTAACCATATGACTACAAGATATTATATTGTAGTATTTATTTTTTCCCTTTTGTTATTCATATTTATTTATTTATTTATTTTATTTTTTTTTATTTTTTATTGTGGGTTGTTCAAAACATTACAAATTTCTTGACATATCATATTCCACACTTTGATTCAAGTGGGTTATGAACTCCCACCTTCACCCCATACACAGATTGCAGATTCACATCAGTTACACATCCATTGATTTACAAATTGCCATACTAGTGTCTGTTGTGCTCCGCTGCCTTTCCCATCATCCACCCTCCCCCCTCCCCACCTCTCCCCTCCCCTCCCCTCCTCTCTCTCTCTACCCCCTCCACTGTATAACCCTGAGGGTCTCCTTCCATTACCGTGCAATTTCCCTTCTCTCTCCCTTTCCCTCCCACCTCTCATCCCTGTTAAATGTTAATCTTCTTCTCCTGTTCTTCATCCCTACTCTGTTCTTAGTTACTTTCCTTATATCAAAGAAGACATTTGGCATTTGTTTTTTAGGGATTGGCTAGCTTCACTTAGCATAATCTGCTCTAATGCCATCCATTTCCCTGTAAATTCTATGATTTTGTCATTTTTTAATGCAGAGTAATACTCCATTGTGTATAAATGCCACATTTTTTTTATCCATTCGTCTATTGAAGGGCATCTAGGTTGGTTCCACAGTCTTGCTATTGTGAACTGTGCTGCTATGAACATCGATGTAGCAGTGTCCCTGTAGCATGCTCTTTTTAGGTCTTTAGGGAATAGACCAAGAAGGGGAATAGCTGGGTCAAATGGTGGCTCCATTCCCAGCTTTCCAAGAAATCTCCATACTGCTTTCCAAATTGGCTGCACCAATCTGCAGTCCCACCAGCAATGTACAAGTGTACCCTTTTCCCCACATCCTCGCCAGCACTTGTTGTTGTTTGACTTCCTAATGGCTGCCAATCTTACTGGAGTGAGATGGTATCTTAGGGTGGTTTTGATTTGCATTTCTCTGACAGCTAGAGATGGTGAGCATTTTTTCATGTACTTGTTGATTGACTGTATGTCCTCCTCTGAGAAGTGTCTGTTCAGGTCCTTGGCCCATTTGTTGATTGGGTTGTTTGTTCTCTTATCGTCTAATTTTTTGAGTTCTTTGTATACTCTGGATATTAGGGCTCTATCTGAAGTGTGAGGAGTAAAGATTTGTTCCCAGGATGTAGGCTCCCTATTTACCTCTCTTATTGTTTCTTTTGCTGAGAAAAAACTTTTTAGTTTGAGTAAGTCCCATTTGTTGATTCTAGTTATTAACTTTTGTGCTATGGGTGTCCTATTGAGGAATTTGGAGCCCGACCCCACCGAATGTAGATCTTAGCCAACTTTTTCTTCTATCAGACGGCGTGTCTCTGATTTGATATCAAGCTCCTTGATCCATTTTGAATTCACTTTTGTGCATGGCGAGAGAAAGGGATTCAGTTTCATTTTGTTGCATATGGATTTCCAGTTTTCCCAGCACCATTTGTTGAAGATGCTATCCTTCCTCCATTGCATGCTTTTAGCCCCTTTATCAAATATAAGATAGTTGTAGTTTTGTGGATTGGTTTCTGTGTCCTCTATTCTGTACCATTGGTCCACCCGCCTGTTTTGGTACCAGTACCATGCTGTTTTTGTTACTATTGCTCTGTAGTATAGTTTGAAGTCTGGTATTGCTATACCGCCTGATTCACACTTCTTGCTTAGCATTGTTTTTGCTATTCTGGGTCTTTTATTTTTCCATATGAATTTCATGATTGCTTTCTCTATTTCTACAAGAAATGCCATTGGGATTTTGATTGGCATTGCATTAAACCTATAGAGAACTTTTGGTAATATTGCCATTTTGATGATGTTAGTTCTGCCTATCCATGAACAGGGTATATTTTTCCATCTTCTAAGATCTTCTTCTATTTCTCTCTTTAGAGTTCTGTAGTTTTCATTGTATAAGTCTTTCACCTCTTTTGTTAGGTTGATTCCCAAGTATTTTATTTTTTTTGAAGATATTTTGAATGGAGTGGTTGTCCTCATTTCCATTTCAGAGGATTTGTCGCTGATATACAGGAATGCCTTTGATTTATGCGTGTTGATTTTAAATCCTGCCACTTTGCTGAATTCATTTATTAGCTCTAATAGTTTCTTTGTAGAGCCTTTTGGTTCTGCTAGATATAGAATCATATCATCTGCAAATAGTGATAATTTAATTTCTTCTTTTCCTATTTTTATGCCTTTAATTTCTTTCGTCTGTCTAA